TCTTCTCTTCCGTCCGTGGGCTGAGTTTAGCTCACAGGACAATGGACAGTGACCATGAGAGGGAGGAACTGGCCCATGGGAAGGTCTTCAGCATCCACGGCAGGGGAATAGGCACCTCGGTGTACCCTTCCCCACAGTCTCAGAGTGCTACCAAGGTCATTCCTCCAGAGAAAACCGGATGCTTTTAGGAAATGGCAATGGGCACTAAGCCACAAAAAAAAGAGGCAGAAAATACACCAGCAAGAGGACTGGGGTATTCAGGCCTAGCCATGTGTTCTGAGTAGACACATCTTAGCTGGGATTTACTGGCTAAGAGTTTAAAACCCACTCTGCCTCTCCTCCTCTCCCATTCTGTGTGACAGCCTAAGTATTGAGAAAGGAACCAGTTTTATGGCAATGGTAGAATCACCCCCAAATGTTTCTAGAAAAAAAACAACCTCAGCATGGCTTCTGAGTCTGGTAAGTTCTATTTACTTTTCCATCAGCACCGCTGGGAATACCTCGGAAGCAGCACAAACAGCTCTTTTGGAAGGAGTTGCTAGCTTCCCCAGTGGACAGGCACTCAGAGGAGATCTCTGCTTTTATTTTTATTTACCTATTAGATATTTAAATGCTATATTTATGTGTGTGTGTGTGTGTGTGTGTGCGTGTGTGTGTTTATCTTCATCTCTTGTTTTTAATTCACTCCAATCCAAGGGAACTTGGGAACTCTGGATCAGATTACCTCTCAGCTACAGGAAGAGCCCACCAAAAATATCCTCCTGCTCTAGGGCAGAGGGTCTCAGTGCGGGTTCCAAACCAGCATGGCCAGAGAACTTGTTAGAAATGCAAATTCTCAGACCCCACCCCAAATTTACGGAACCAGAAACTCATGGGGCCCAGCCATGCAGTCATGGCAAAGCCGTCCAGGTAATTCTGAGGCACTCCCCTAGGGAAGGGGTTTCATTGCTTCTGTGAGAAGCACTCCCCAAAATATTGAACAGGACTTCTCAATTAGTAGCTCTGCAAAAATCTTTCTAAACCTGTACAATCAACATAGGCAATCTAAGGGGCCATGAAAAATAAGTTGACGTTTGATAGAATGTTCAAAATGAATTTTGTTTTTGAAAAAGGATATTTTTGCTCTTTAACTGACCTGGTTACCAGCTGTGATCTTTAACAGATTCTATTATCCCCTCATGGCTCTTCCTTTTGTAAATAACATCCCCCCTTTACCACTACCATTTCAGAGCAGTTCTGGCAATTGCAAACAGATTTACATTCATTGTCAAAAATCTTTATTTATTTATCTTTTTTATCACCTGACCTGGGCTTTTGGTTTTGGGGTATGTGTGTGTGTGTGTGTGTGTGTGTGTGTGTGTGTGTGTCTGCACTACATGCCTTACAGATGTTGAGTTAGTTTCATTTATTTTAAAATAAAAGTATTCATATGGACATAGACAGTTAAGCGAATTTAAGACTAGATTACAACAATACATTTTAGTTGTTTGCTTTTTCTGATTAGTGAGATAACAGTTCAGAAAGAAGAGATTGTCATGGAAGTGGGAGGTGCTAACTGACACCTTTAGTCATTATAAATGTGAGTCATCAGAACAAAAGGGAAAATCATAATCAAATTTTACATCATAATAATGCCCTTCACAGTGAGAATTAACTGGGAAGGCCAGGTATGCACGAAATGTTTAGTTTTTGTCAATTCAAACACACACCTAAGAGTTCCCTCCTAATTGCCTAAGATAGCCATAGAAGACTTTTATGTTAAGGAATGAATGATTTTTATTCAGAGAAGTTTATCTCCTAATAATGGCTGCAGGCATTTCTGGGCTGCCCTTCTATATAACAAAAGGGTAATATGCAAATTAACTGAACAGCGAAATGACAGAAACGCCTGTGGCCCCTCACCAGGGCTGGCCCCACCCACTAGTGGGCACCCCCACCCTAATCTGATTGGGGCCAGGGCCGGCTAACTACCCACAGCCGCTCACTGCAGCTGACCCCTCACCCCAGCCAGTCCATCCCCAATGGCCCCCTCAGGGCAGGCCAGCTGGACCCCACCAGTATATGAATTTCTCCATGTCAAAACCCCTCTGTGACTTGTAAATTATATTTAATAGCATTTTTTCTGGGTTAATTCCCTGCTAAAAAACAAAATCTTAAAATGGCTTATTTTTTTCCAAATCGAGTATATGCACACACATGCCAATTGTATAAATGTGTGTTTGGTGTGTTTGCCGAATTTTGTGTAAACAAATTCCAAAAGCTACAACTAAAAGAAGTTATAGATTAAACATGAGACGTTAGCACAGAAAGTGTCACATGTATTTTGTGGGGGCCAATGAATTCATTCTGAGATTTAACTACAGATTTTTAATAAACTTTTTGAGATTTCTCCAGAAAATTTGAAAATAAGGGCACATTCATGGATTACCACAGCCTGCCCAATATTTACCATTTGCCTTTTTTCTTCCCTCTTCCCTTAAGTTCAAAGGAGTATGAAAAAGTGGAACCTAACAGGATTTTACCATCTAGCAGTGTTTTTTATAAAGTATGTGTGGGGGCGGGGGTGGGGGGTGGCGGAGGGTTCTCATTTTTTTCCAGTGGGACATTTTCAGTATTTTCAAAGAAGGAAACTGACCGATCTACCCCTAACAGGAGGTGCATTGCTATCTTTTGCCAAGTCTTTTGTGTAGTCAGACTGGTCTAGTGTACAGGATTTTCCAAACTTATGCTGGATCCTTGAGAAGGCCTATAAATAAGACCATTTGTTTGGTCTCAAGATGACTTGCATTTGCAAACTGAGGAATGTTCCAATAGAAGTTTCATGGTGACACACCAGTCTGCAGACTGGCTCAGGCAGCAGTCAAAACAAGTCACTACGGATCCAGGAAGCTGAAGTCTGAATGGGTCAGATTGTCCTCCGTCTAATTTGGCACAGATAAATTTGAGCTATAGATATGCAGTGTCCCTTTGTATTTTCAACTTAAATAGTCCAAACCGAACAGGGGAAATGTGTGTGGACCTAATGCTGAGTTAGAAACACAGGAATACCATGATTAAATTGAAGTTCACTTATTTGTGCTAAGGTTTGTTGTATTAAAATGAGCAATAGTTTGCTAAGATTGAAAAACATCATATGTGGCTTTTTTTTTAGCTTTATTAAGGTATTGACAAATATATGTAAGTTTAAGGTATACGATGCTATGATTTGATACACAGATATATTGTAAAATGATTATCACAGTAAGGTTAGTCAATACCTACATCCCCTTACATAATTACCATTGTTTTGTGTGTGGTGAGAACATTGAGTATCTTCTCTCTTATCAGCATTGAAGTATATAATAAGTAATAGAGGCTAGATGCACGAAATTTGTGCAAGAGTAGGCCCTCACAGCCCCAGCTTCACCCTGAAGGTAGTCTGGAAGGTCATACGGACGATCTTTCTGTTGTTCAGCCATTCGGTCAATTTGCATATTATGCTTTTATTATTGTAGATTCTTATAGACTAGAGGCCCAGTGCATAAAATTTGTGCAAGAGTAGGCCTTCCTTCCCCCAGCTGCTGGCACTGGCTTTCCTCTGTCACCCAGGATCTGCGCTTCCCTCTGGCTGCTGGCAGGCAACTGGGACCAGGGACCTGGGCTTCCCTCGCAGCCCCAGATTCATCTGGAAGGCTGTCCGGTCTAATTAGCATATTATGTTTTTATTATTATAATTTATTATAGATTATTCACTGGAGTCCCCTGTTGTGCTTTAGCTAGAAATTTATATTGTTTGGTCAACACCTCCTCATTTCCCCCACCCCTCAGGCCCCAGCAACTACCATTCCACTCTCTATTTCTGTGAGTTAGACTTCTTTGATTCCATATGTGAAAATATATAGTATTTGTCTTTATTTGACTGACACTTCACTTAGCATCATGCCCTCAAGGTCCATTCATATTGTTGCAAAAAGCAGGATTTTCTTATTTTTTATGACTGAATATTTCATCACATATAATAGCTTACATTTCCTTTATCCTTTGTTACATATATATATATATAACATATGAAACATAAAAATATATATTTTATGTGTTTCATATGTTCTATGTATAGAAATATATATGAAAATATATGTGAAATATATATCCATTTATTTGTCAGTGGGCACTTGGATTATTTCCACATCCTGGCTATTGTCAATAATGCTACTATGAACATGGGGGTGCAGATATATTTTCAAGATTGTGATTTCCTTCCCTTCAGATATACCCAGAAGTAGGGTTGCTGTATCATTTGGCATTTCTATTTTTAATTTTCTGAGGTTCCTCTATCCTGTTTTCCACAGTGGCTGCACCTAATGACATTCCCATCAGCAGTACACAGGCGTTCCCTCTCCTCCATAGTCTCACCAACACTCGGTATACTTGACCTTTGATAGTAGACACTCTAACAGGTACAAGATTCGGATTTGCATTTCCCTGATGATTAATGATGTTGAGCATCTTCTCACCTACCTGTTAGGCATTTGTATGTCTTCTTTGGAAAAACATCTATTCAAGTTCTCTGCCCAATTTTTAATCAAATGGTTTGGGTTTTGTTTTGGGGTTTTATTTTGTTCTGTTTTGTTTTTGTTGTTATTGTTGTTTTCTAATGCCATTTGTTCCAAATTGTCAAGAGAATTATAGAACTTCCCTAATTTAAAAAATGTTGGCAAACAGTTAAAATTTTTAAGAAACTGTGAGACACACAGACCTAAAAGCTGAACCTCCAAGCCACTAGTTTGTACATTTTACCATTTCACAATAAATGAGCGACAATTTTGCAAATGTCTCCAAATGATAACCCCAAAACACCCCACCCCCTTTAGTAACCGGCTCTGAGAAGCAGGACTTCTCCTAAGGTTACAGCTGTCATTGCCATTGTTCTTCTGAAAGAGACAGTTTCCTCCTGCTAGAGATTTGATTTGATGGTGTCCGCACACGAGGTTCCTGTCACTTCATGCCATGTCTTCCTTCAGGCCCGATGGGATTGGAACTGTGACTGTGGAAGAAAAGGAGCGTTTTGAAGAAATCAAAGAGAGACTCCGAGTTCTGTTGGAAAATCAGATTACACATTTCAGGTAAGGATCTGGGATAGAGGGGGGTCCTTAGAGGGAGGGTCAAGGAGGACTTGATTTTCTGAAACTGTAAGTCAATCAGATACACATTGGACATTTAGACATAACTGAATGAAAGAGCAAACCGGTTAGACTGGGTTCCACAATAGCTCAGAGACTTTGAAATCGTAAGGTCATTTTATTTCCACCAAAGGAACAGCCCCTCCTTGTACAAGTTGACCCTGGTCATCAACCTATTTTTGTTTATCTTATTAAAAAGTTGTATTTAAAGCCTCTTCAGGTCTCCTAAAGAAGGCACTGAAAGATCTTATGAACCACATCATGTGATCAGGGGAGGAAGGCAGTGGTACCCACGGGAGGAGCCACCTTCCCCTCAGAGACAGGACCAGCTGCTCCTCCGGGAAGGGAAGCTGACGGGCCCTGCAGGCTGGCTCTTCTCCACGCGCCGGAGCCAGCGGCAGCAGCCGCCTTGAGCCACGTGGCCCACTGCTCCCTGGGACAAATCAGTCATTTCTAATGCTGCACTTGTGATTCCGGGCCTGAAGCCTGAACTAGTAACTCAAAAATCAGAAGCACATTTATAATGGCATAAATCAGGCCCTTCCAGATACAGGGGCTGGATAAGCATATCAATATTTTTTTATGCCATCAAATTTTGTAAGGAAGTTATTGTAGTCCCCATTTAAACAACAAGTAAACTGAGGCTGAGAGAGGTTCAAGACTTGCCCCAGGCCCATTTGAGTGTAAATAGCCCTGCTGGTCCCTTTGTATCATAAGGAACAGTGTCCCAAAGGACTGGTGTCAACCTAAAACAGTCAATGGAATTCCTACTGTTATCTACCGCAAATTCCCTCACCCCCTGCCTTATTGATCATATAGTGAATGCAAAATGCATTGCCAATAATGAAAACTTTTCTAACAATTAAAAAGCACAAGCAAGGAAGGACAATTTGCAGAATCATGAATTTGTTCAAAAGACCTTCCTTCGTTTTCCATATGAATTCTTTAGGGATTAACCTTATCCTCTTTCAGCTAATATTTTTGTAATGTTGGTCTCTATGATAATATTTAAGGTCTCTGTTGAGCTAACAAATGGTTCTCTTCACAATGGAAATCTACACAGAGCCTTGTCATCACCCTGAGTATTCTTTTGTGCTGCAGACGTTTGCAAGAGTCTTCAGTCATCATTCACACATACACATATATATATTACATACACACATAAATGGTGTGAATTCAGATTAACATAACACAGCGTGACAAAATAGAAAGCACTTTCTGTTCCTCAAAGAATTTCTATAGGAATCAAATTTCAGTATATTTCATGCTGAAGTGTAATAAATTGGGCAACCTGAAGAATTTTCTCTTTTTTAGGTACTGCTTCCCATTTGGTCGGCCTGAAGGTGCTTTGAAAGCTACTCTCTCACTTCTGGAAAGGGTAAGAATGAAAGTCAAAGACAGATTCCACATCTACAGAAACATGAACAACATTGTAATGGAATATTGTTGTTGAATGACCTAGACTATAATTTTTGAGGTATTGTTAACCATTCATCAAATATCAAAAGAAGCATGAAAAAACTGCCCATAATCTAGGTGTTTCATCTCCAGTCAACAAATAGTTGGATCTATTGAAGATATGTTCTTAATCCTTTCCTGGTTCATGGACAGGCTTTGCCATTCTAACCATACATCTGAACCCTCTAAGAAATACAAACAAGTAACGCATTTAATTAAACCATCTGAATAATCTTTTTTTCCCACCTGAAGGTTTTGATGAAAGACATTGTTACCCCAGTGCCACAAGAGGAGGTTAAAACAGTCATCCGTAAATGTCTAGAGCAGGCTGCTTTAGTCAACTATTCCCGGCTATCAGAATATGCCAAAATCGAAGGTAAGACCCCATTCTGCCCCCAGGTTTTCATTTAAAACTTCGTATGTCTCCCTGGGGAAGTCTCTCTCTTTTCTGATGGGCACAGGAAACAGGGGTCCATCTGAGTGTGTTAAGCTGAAACCTGAACTCACTCAAAATATGAAAATGTGAACTCTTCCTTGGATGTGGCTAAATAAATGAATGAAAGATAAGATGCTCAGAAACAAGTCTTTGTAGGGGAAGAATATTAAACATGGGATGTTATCCGATAATTGAGGTCCCTCAGATAGTCTGTGTCAGCCCTAAGTGGCTGATGTCTTCCAATGAAAGAGTTTTGCGGGATTACTACCTGCTTTAAATAAAGGAAAACAAAGTTTGTTGTCCACTGTTGATGGCACTGCAAGTAAACCAACAATTGAATAAAGCAACATCAAGATTTTGCTGAACGCTTTCTTGTCCCTTGAACTTACGAAGAGCTATCTTTGGTTGCATTTCAAACTTGACGGCAAATTAATGTCCAGCCTCTCTGTGGCTCCTGGTTTGCTTTTGATCTCATTTGTTATTGCTACATTAGACCTAGGATGGTTGTCACCGCTGCCCTCTCAAGTTTTAGGGAAGCAGTCACTGATGACCAAGTAATTCCCAAAAGTCACCTTGAGTAAATGCTACTTGAAAAGGTATGGTTCTTTGGAACCTATTCATTGCAGTTTATTAATCACTTTTCATTGTTACCCTGTTGGCTGTTATAGGGTGATTTGAAAACCACACCCAACTTGACCAGTGGTGTAAGTGTATAAATGTGGAAGTTCTGTGTGCAAACCTCAATGTGTTCGCATTCTGGAATCTGATGTTCTCTCACGTGAAATGCCAGCAAATACCCATTGTTTGCTTTTAGGACATGACTGGGGAAAAAGAAAAAGACCTAACCAACCACCAAAACCCATCAGTTATCCTGCCAAAGTCCTTATTTTCCTAGAGAATTAGGCTAAGATCATGTCAAATTCACAGTGTTCTGTACATTACATGTTCCCCTCTCTCAATTTTGTCTGTCTGACAATGCAAATTGTGTACCAGTGGTAATGAATTCATTGTTATGCATCCAGGGAGAAACACCTAAGAATTGGGCACTAAAAGGATGTTTATCAACTCTTGACTTGGTAATGAGTGACAAAAATAGAGGAACAAGAAGATTGTTAAAAGAGCTATATTAGAAAATAATTGTTCCAGCATTTACCTTCCCAGGACACAATGATTGGTTGTATTTGGTAATGCCAACCAGGCATCTAATAATTCTAGGTGAGGCCAGAGATGGGATGGAATCAAGAAACGTTCGGTTGCCATGGCTGCTGCCTCCTAGGTCTTGGTCTAGCTATTACTAGTCTTGGTAAGATCTGCTCTCTTCTTTCAGATAAATGTATCCAAAAATAAACTTTAAGATCTGTAAGTAAAAATGCATTCATTTCCAAAGTAGATCAGCTGGTCTGTAATTTCCTTTTGTGCCTCAATTCTTCTTGGTTGTGTTAATTATCTTTTGCACTGTGACTTTTAGGTCTGGGGATTCTTTGAAGAAACCAATCTTTTTTTTCCAACTCTCTTTTCAGAGAAGTACCTCATTCCACACTACTGCTCTCTTTGCTTCTCTCCTTCCTTGTTCACGATTGGCTCAGCCATTTTTTGACATTATCTCTGCAAAAGTGGCTGTGACACCAATTTCAAAGCATGCTGGGATTGTTAATTCAGACAACCCAACATCCTCTGGCTGCATGTATCAGGTTTTCTTTCATGAACATAGTCCACCATAGGCTGAGACATTGCAGCTATAAAGATATTACTACCAGACAACTTTCTTTTACAAGGTTCCAATCCTACACTCAGAAAATAAACTGTCCATTTTTATATTTGAGCCCCTCTGTGAGAACTGACAGCTTAGTTTCCAGAGAATTTTGGAAAGAAGTTGTGGTAATATTGCTGGAGACTATGTTTATGAAGAAATACCTCAAGAGCCTTAGATACTAAAGTCTGAAATCCTTAGTATCTTGGAGCCTTAAATCAATGAAATTCTGTTTCCCTTTACTCATGATGTTTTTGGTCATTGTATTCTTGCAAACAATTCTAAAGAGACATGTAAAATCATGGTCACAATCTCTCTCGTGACTCACGGCATGCTGAATGGTTAATCCAGTAGATCTCCGATTTTGAAACTCCTTTTTCCTTTATCCTGTGTTTATCCCAAAATACTCTGTGGCTATTTTCCTTTGAGCTAATGTAACGTTTTCCTCTAACCTTTAACCTCTTTACCTCTGACCTAAGCCTCTTGCATGCCCAAATCCTCTTTTATAGGGAAAAAGAGAGAAATGTATGAGCATCCTGTCTTCTGCTTGGCCTCCCAAGTGATGGATTTAACCATTCGTGAGTACCTACCACTCCTCACCATGCTGTCTTCACTCTTTCTGTTTTCATTATTTCAAGAAAATACAGATCCAATCAACTCACTCTCCTTGCTTCAAGTTGTTTAGCATTGGCTTGTCTGTTGATTCTGTCTGTGAAATCCAGTGTGAGAAGTCCAGTCACATTTTATCAGCCTTAAACAGGTTAGACAATTAAGCCATTTGTTTGTGATAAACTCAGATTTGTCTGTAAGTTTTTCAGTTATTCTCTGTCTGTGACCTGAATGCATTTTTACTTTGCTTGTGTGTAACGCCAATTTGTAAAGTGCTTGTCACTGGTACACAATAAAAAGGTAGCATCTAGGCCGGGAGCAATATGTTAGGTGTCAGATAAAGGACAGCTGGGGCAAAATCATGCCTTCTTTTCCATGTTTAACATGTCAAACTATTGTGGGTATAAGATCACATGAGGTGGTCTATTCTCTGTAAAAATTAGATCTTACGTGCCTCCTGTCCCTTTTCTCTCAAGCTGGAAAGCTTTTCCTTGTTCTTTCTGGAGATTTTGACTTGTCCTTGTCCTCTAAGCTTTGGCTAGAACACATGACTTAATTGTCACTTGGAGAGTTCATGTATGTTTCATAGCTTGATTTCACATTAAACTTAATTTTACTAATTTTCTATTTGTGCAGCATTTTTCACCTCTGTGAAGGAGCCTTTTTTTGCTGGCCCCCACACTTTGGGGCGGTGGGAACCCAAGGGCGACCTTTTCTTCTAATGTCATGTATCACACATAAGTGGGGGGCATTTTGGTCCACTTGCTCATTAATCCTGCATATGTGTTCTTGTTTCTCTCTCTCTTCTCTCCTCATTGTGCTCTCTCTTTCAAATAGAGAATCAAAAGGATGCAGGTGAACCAATTGTATATGCATTATAAACTATCAGGATTGTTGAGTTATATTTAGTTTCTTTTTTTTTTTTATGGCTCCTTAATGTATATACTCCCAAAGATTGGTGTGGAGTTGCAATGATACTTAAGGAGTTAATTTGTGCTGTCTAACTACCCCTCATGCCCATTAGAAGTTAACCTTTATAGAGTAGACTTTCCATAAAGGCATAAGCTTTGGAGGAACAGAATTCTGGTTTGTACGGAACTTTTCATCCTTGGTTTTTTGGATTCCAGGGATTTGGCCTCATGTGCTTTTTAAAAATAGTAACTTAACCAAACGAATCTTCACTTTTGTTTTTCATTTCTTTTTTCTGTTTCCTACCCTACTGAGAAGTTTGTGTTCTTTGGTGAATGTCTATCAGCTAAGATGGAGAGAGGTTGTGTTTGTGCTGTTCTGTGTATCGTGTGGTGAGGCAGAGTGCAGGCACAGGGTGGAAGCTTCGTGAGAGGAAACCTTTAGAAAACTCTCTGACTTCGGATGTGTTCTTCTTGTTTAGTCCCAAAAATTCTAAGCATTTTGTAAGGAAAACTCTAGTAATGAAACATATAGTATTAATATTAACTTTTATTTTTACGGTCTAAAGGATTCTCAAAAGATTATTATCTTTTCATTGAAGTTAAACCTATTTCATCAAAGATGAATATATTTCAGATCAACTCGGCATTTTTGAGCACATGCCAAGCACCAGACTGGCATTAAGTATTGGAAGACTCATGAACCTATGTTCAAGATACATGTGCCTTTCTCTCGAGAAGGGAAGGTATCCATTAATTCATTCACTCTTTCATTCATTCAACAAGTGTTTAGTGAGGCCTACCCATGTGCCAGGTGTAGTGGTGAAAGCCAGGGACTATGCAGACAACAGGAAACAGCTGATAACCTTATGAAGCCTGTGTGCAAATGGGTGCCTAGTGTCACTTACACATTAAGTTGGGTGCAGTGCACCAACTGGGACAGCTGTGCATAAGAGGACACTGTCAGACACCTTGGAAATCTTCACAAGGTTGGAAAGCTTGAACGGCATCCTGAAAGATGAATTAGAATCAGTGAAAGGGAGCAGGGATTGGAAAGTGGAGAGGCATCCTGGACAGAGAGAGTAATATGTGCAAACATGTAAAACCATATAGCTAATAAAAATAAATAATGCTTATTCAGTGTGTATTATGTACCAAGTATGACTATTAATTGCTTTATATGTATTAACCTCATTTAATCTTCAAAAACCCTTATGAGGTGTATACTACTATTATTCCTATTTTAGAGAAGACCAAACCAAGATACAGAGAGGTCAAATAACACACTTCTAGTAGAATAAGGTTAGAGACAGAATCTCAGTCCAGGCAGAGGCCACAGTCTCAACTATTCTGTAATTCAATGTGGTTGCAATGAAATGAAATGATGGCAGTAAAGGGTGCTGATGATGGCAATGTAGACAGGAGGCAAGATCTCAAAAGCCTTGATATGCCCTAATAATAGAGTTCAGATTATATCTCACGGTCCAAAGTTTTTAATCTGGAATCGATGCCAACTTTTGAAGGCCTATAGATTTTTCAAAGGAAAAATTCCACACATCTCACATCCAAAGGTGATAAAAAGCCATTAAAGGCTCTTTAAGCCAGAGAGAAAGGACTGAGAAGGAGGATTGAGTAAAACTGGGTTTAAAAGTTAAGGTCCAAGCAGAGATGGGTTTGAAGCCTGGTATATCTGAGGCTTCTAAGCAAAAACAAATCTCAACCACAATCACAATCAGAATGATTTCTTTCTGGATCTTTTCATCTTTTTTCTTACCTTCCCTCTCCTTTTTCAATTCCCTCAGAGGGATCTAAGCACAAATACATGGATGGGTATTCAAAGCCAACTGTATGGAGGTGGCAGGGCACCACTGGAGTTACATGCCCTAATTGTGTGGAATGTGGACAGTGAGGAGCCCTTTGCTCAGGCTGTGCTTTGAGAGGCTGGGGAATCAGCAGGTGGTAGTTTGATGGACTTGTGGCATTATTAGAAATTAAACATTCAGTTTAATTACAGTATCTCAAGAAAGTAAAAGGCTCCTACTCTATGAAAGAAAAGTTGTGACTCCTGCACATAAATTTATTATTTTAAATATATTTCCACTTAAGCCATCACATGTCCTGAACCCAGCAAGCTCTATGGATATACTACTATTGTTGTTTTGCCTCAATTCTTGATTAAATACTTGTATAATTTTCTGAGCATCATAAAAATTCAATTGAAACTTGAAATTAAAAAAAATTTCTACAACTATACCAAAGATTTGCAAAATTAGATAGATTAACAGATAGGTAGATAGATAAGCAGATGTAGATAGGTAGATTAGATAGATAGATAGATAGATAGATAGATAGATAGACAGATATAGAGCCAGCCAACCCACCTCTGGGCTAAGGACTTTTAATGGAGAATCTGATTCCATCTTTACCCCTTTTACAGGTGAGGGAGCTGAGGATGACTGAATTTCTCAAGCAGGACTTGAACCAGATTTTTCTAAATTCAAAGACCATGCTTTTTCATCTTTTTTCTCACTGCCACCTTTCTGGTTGATGTGGTGGGCACTTGGGTAGTAATCAATGAATGGATAACTTTAAAAATACCTATAACTTTTAATCCAGGAAAACTACCCAAAGACAGAACAGTCCTTTCTGAGACCAGATCACTGCCAAAATATTCCCATCCTGAAGTCTTCCTCGGGGCAATTGAGATTCCCTGAGATTACCAAGGAACTGTAGACTTTTGTCTCCCCAACTGACAGAAACCCTCTAACGGAGGACAGGTTCACCCAAAGGACTCCAAGCAGGTTCTGTAGTGCTGAGGTTCAGTATCATTCCTTGTCTCCAGCCAACCTTCCTCCAGGCCCAAGGCCAATGGAAGGAGAAGACAACTAAGCTTGCAATCCTTTAACACACAGTGCAGAGCCACCTACCCAAGGGCAAATCCCCTTCCACCAAGTGCCAGGCCCTTCCGAAATGAGCACCACCTCATGCTTCATGTCTTACACAAGAAACTAAATGTTTCCCTTTCCTTCCTCCTTGTTTCAGGGACATACCAATCAGGGTTTCCAAGCCCAGATTATTTTGTAGACTAGTACCTCATCCATGTTATAAAAAGTGAGGAGGGCAAGGAGGAACATGTTTCCAACACTGTCACCAAGGAGGATCCCGGAGGAAAGAAGGAAATGTTAGAAAAGATGCCATAAACCAGTAAATATAAAATCAGAGTCTTTTCTACCAGAAAAAGAATAGATGCCACTGCTGCTGCTAATGACAATGGTGACAACTGTCCTTTATTGAGAATTTAGTATATTTTTAGTAGTTACAGGCATATCTCAGTTAATTCTCACAACTCTATAAGTAGTGTGTTATTACCATATTTCTTTGGCTCTAAAAGGCCATCAATTATAAGATGTACCATTAATTTATATACTCCTAAAAACAAAACAATGCTGCCAACTAAATTGTTAGACGCCATCAAATGTAAATGCACCCAATTTCAGAAATGTTAAAATATGCCATACCACTTAATGAAATAAGAATTCACTCCTGCCAAAACCGGTTTAGCTCAGTGGTAGAGTGTCGGTCTGCAGACTGAAAGGTCCCGGGTTCGATTCCGGTCAGGGGCATGTAAGTTGGTTGCGGGCACATCCCCAGTAAGGGGTGTGCAAGAAGCAGCTGGTCGATGTTTCTCTCTCATCAACGTTTCTGGTTCTCTATCTCTCTCCCTTCCTCTCTGTAAAAAAATCAATAAAATACCTTTAAAAAAAAAAAAAAAAGAATTCACTCCTTGTATATAGAAATACAGAGAGAAATAAATAGAAGCATGTTAAGTAAGTTGCCCAAGAATACACAGCTAGTTAGTATCAGAGACAGAATTTGAACATGAGTATAATTCCTAAGCCTACATGTTGAACTTCTAAGCTATGAAACACCGTGGTTGTTAGTGATAAAATTGTAAGACTAAAAAGGGATTTCTCAATCATCTAGTCCCAAACAGACACCTGACATACAGGAAAACTGAGGCCTAGCGGTTTCTAAATGAGATTGGGCAGTTAGTGACTCTGGTTTGGGATCCTGCACACTATTCAGGAGCCTTCACCCCCAACCAGGTAACCTTACCTTTCAGCCAAGAGATGATGGCCCCACCCCAGCCCGTCTGGCCTGAATTTTTAGCACGACAGCTGAAGATGAATAGTGTCACAGGACAGGATCCTGTATTTGCAGCTCTAAGGAAACGCCACCCCAGGACCAGCCTGGGTACCAAAACTTAAATCACTATCTTGGCTTCAGTGAACTTTTTAACCTCTGTAAGCCTCACTTTTATTTTCCTCACCCAAAGCATTGTTGCAAAGATTGAAACACATATTCCAAAAAGAGCTACTAGAACAGTGCCTGTTAGCATAGTTACATTATTATATTTATTATCTGTTATTATTTGCTTATTATTGTTTAAAAGAAAACATCCCAATTTAAATGTATAGCATGGACATAATGTTTTATTTCAGAATTGGAATATAAAAGAATACACCTCAAACTTTGAAATTCATAAAAATCCCTGAGGATCTTGTTAAGACATAGATTCTGAGTTAGCAGGTCTGGACCAGGGCCTGAAAACCTGCATGTCTAACAAGTGCCCAGGTGATGCGGAGCTGCTGATCCAGTGATTGCAATTTGGATGTCGGTGGAATATAAGAGGCAGTTGATTGATCTTTTTATCATTAATTTCAAAATAAAACATAGCAATATAGCTCCACACATATTAGTAGTTAAATACCTACTAAGTTCCAGGATCTGTGCCAGATACCAAAGGAGTGAGCAATGAGGAAAAGCAGCCATGGTCCCTACCCCCAGGGAGCAGACATTATAGAAGAGAGCACAGGCATAAAACACGTAGTTACATTCTGCGCATAGTAAAGGGAAATGCCAGGCGCATAGTAAAGGGAAATGCGG